AGATTCCCAATTTGTAGCAATTTTACGTATTACATACATAATGTTTGGACGAAATCAATTTAAAAAGAGAGGGATTTTAGTTTTCAAATTAATTTATTGTCAATTCACAACATTGGTACGGAAGTGATTTAGAGAGCAGAGATTGGATTGTCTTTTTTGTGCTTTTATTGTTATTATTTTGACGATTCCTTAATTAACATTAATTTAGCATTGTATGCAGTATTCAAAATGTGGAACACGAGAGTGATTTTGATGTCTTTTTTTTATATTTTTGTATTTTGAAGTGCAAAGATATTGTCAAATGCTAAATTTGTACACAAAAATATATTTGGTATGATGGTTGGCGTAATAGCAGAACAAGTATACGGAACAGAAAACCAAATGGATTAGGTCGTGCCAGCTTACAACGTACACAGCTAAAGCTTTAGAGACCCAAGTCCCTGATGACTCCATTCCTTGTAATCAGCAGACTTAAATACAAATACCATTTTATTTCATTATATTTTTGTCAAAATGATTGTTTTTGCTTTTCATCTTTTGCGTTTTATAAATTACTTTTATAATAAAATTTATTTTATTGATTTTCACTGAAATTCAGTGAAAATGAGTAAAACAAAGTGACCTTAAAATAAAATTAGGTTTACCTTCAAAGTGTACTGATTTAATGTTGTGTGTGATTGTGATATTATCAACATTTTGCTACCTTACCAAACTGTCTCTGAACTTTGAAAGAGGAAATGAAAAATTCACTTTATTTTACTCCTTTTCAGTGAAGCTCAGTGAATATTAGTAAAAACAAAAGTGTTTTTTTCACTAATTACCAACCACATCTCTAAAACTTTCAACCATACTCCACAAAATTGTGCTTTTTAGACTTTTATGACCAAAGGTGAGTACTTACAAACAATTCCTATTAGGGTGAGCTTTATTTGATATGAATACATGTGCAATAGCAAAACGCGGTGTTGCTGTCGGCATTACTTTAGTATGTTTCATTTGCTTTGTTGTTTGCTTATAAAACATTAATTCAAAACGAAGATCTTTTAACTACATAAATTATTGAATTACACATTTGTAGCATACGAAGCATTACCGACAACAAGCCGTTTAAAACTAAACTAAAATATACATAGAATACTTAACCGTAGAATAATGTTAAAGTAATACATTTCGAATAAAACATTTTTAAAGAATCTTCCCATTTAGTATAGTATTTTTGACTAGTGAATAAATTACACCTATTAGTAATATATTTAAGTAAAATACGAAAGCTGGAGTATATTTTTTAATGCCGATATACTCACACTTAGTTTGTGCAAGCGAGACAGAAAATGCTAACGTCATACTAGCTCCTATAATGTTGATGCTCAAATTATACCCTTTTTTTGAACTTATATGAATTATATTTAATTTTGAATGGGAATATTTAATAAATAATTTAAATGAGATTCCTCTTTAATACTACGTACAAAATCTAGCTATCTAGACTTTTCTATCAATTACTGCAAAAAGCAGAGTAATCATAATCTTTCATAAGATAAATAGGGATGAGATGCAATTTTAGTAACTTTTCAACATTGCCATTTAGTCGATTTTAACTTGAAATAAATACATCAATTCGTGAATAGTTACTAATTGAACGTCTCTTTATATAATCTCAAAAAGAAATATGTATAAACATAAACTAATATAATTTCAACACATTGACAAGAAAATTATAGTCTTTGGCGTTTTGAGCAAAATATGAGGTGTTTATGGCATCAACTAGCGATACTAAGTCGCGCATTCAAGTTACAGATATTTTATACAAAGACTAAACGGTTGATACATCGAAGAGGGCAACCTAACATTGATTAAGCAATAATACATGATTATTGGTTATTCGACAATCGCTATATGAATACAAAAAAATTGACCGATAATAAGATTTTTGGATAATTTATGAAAACTTACACTTATATGTCAATCGCTGTACATCAATGAAGGTCGGTAAGGTCTGTAGTATATCAGGTATACACTACGAACATTTTTCTTTGACACTGACTGACACTTTATAATTAACAACAATATGTAAACTTAAATTGTTACTTTTAATATTTAGCCCAAATGAACAATTAAACGCACTTCGACCGAGCCATAATAATGAACCGATTATAAATTTATATAAAAACATCATCATATTAAATGATATAATACATTCGACGAGATGACGATAAGATACGACGCAATTACATTCAAATTAGTTTCAAAGATTTAACGTAAATGACCTGAGTAATAATCGATTGTGAAACAAAGGGGAAAAATGTTCATAACTGTTTATTCATGTATAATTGTCGAAAAATGTCTTTTAGTATTAAGGTTCCATAAAGTAGCAAATAAACCTGTTATTAATACTAGAAACAATGGACTAGATATTTGGCTCATATCACCGACCTCGATGTGATCAACCTGTATTTGCCAATTTTTGAACTAGTGACAGTAAGTTATACCAATATTTATCATGATACTATAATCTAAAGAGGGTTAATAGCGCTTTTTCGTACCATGTAGGTAACATCTTAAAACGCAGTATAATAATTATTATTAATGCAACATTACGTGCCACTAGTTAAAAGATCTGCAAAAAACACTAATCATTTATGTTTCTATCAATATTAAGATGACTATAGAGTAATATCGGTTACATTATAAAATGTCAATTCCCTAATAAGTATGAATACCCTACACATCCTTACATATACAAAGTATTACATACATACAAATCATACGTATTAATAATATATCTCGTTATTTGATACATATAGTATAAACAATACAAATAAATGCATTTATGGCAAAAGGTAGGAATGTTGCTCTGTATTTTATTTGTTTAATAAAAACTAGGCGATTTTTTTTATCGATAAGACTCGACTAAAGTCGGGAACGTACTACAATACCAGAGCTTCAAAATGCCGCTCTATTTAGTATTTATTTCATATATATCCTGTAAATAGGTAAACATAAGTGTATTTTTCTAAATGTCTTAGAAATAAACACTATTTATTTTACATAAATTGTTATAAAACAAATATAATGTGTGTAAATATACGCATTACAGTGAGCATTGCTATGAGCATATCAGTTAAATTTGGTCGAGCTCGAGATCACGAGATTGCAAATGAAAACCACAGTGTCGTTATTGTTCGTTCATTTTTATATCAGGACTCGGAAATAAAAATGAAGACACTTTTGTATGTACATTGTTTTTTTTTTCACTGACTATGAAAGTAACTTCTCGGTTTGGGGAAACTGCTTTGGATATGTGTTATTTAGCGCAGATTTTAGAGTACTGTGTATAACAATAAAACTTTATAGTAAAATTACAACATTGCAAGTTTTTAATAAAATATTAATAAATTGTCTAAAAAAAACGACCATTATTACTTATTTATACCGTTTTTTTAGATAACTACAAATTAATTTGTAGGTATATGTATAAGAATGACTAAGGATTATTTTAATAGTGCTCGAAAACTTTATTTATGATTGATAAAAGTTGTTACATATACCTCATTACGACAACCATTTATTTAATTTTGATTATATATTTATGAAGCAACTTATTTACTTTTCTCAGCTCAAGATGATTACCAGTCCTTTGTAATAGATAGAGACTAAAATTTTGAATAAGAAATAACAAGAGCGTACAAGACAACGTGTACACCCGGTAAACGAAATACCTGGTCAAATCTTTATGTGTGTTAATCCAATCAGTGTATTATTATAACTATACATGAGTGTAAATTGTAAAACCTCGTTATACACTCATACATTTATTGCAAATTATTATTGTTACAAATCCATTCTGCTTTAGTTTCCAATTTTCTAATAATAGTTCATTAAAATCACATACTTCGTACTACTGAGCAGGTATTTTGTTTGCCGTGTACATTAATGTGTCAACCATACTTTTATTTCCAAGTCCTAATATTTCGAATCTTATTCTAATGTCAATGTATGTTATTGGACTTACGGGCCGATGTATTAACTACTCTACATTATAATGACTACGATATAAATTGTATTAGCCCTAGGGTGAAAAAAATGTCTATAAAATATGTCTGTAATCCCAAGCCTATTGTTAGGTATCAAAAGATTTTTTATCGTATTTAGGGGTTGACAATCCACATAGGGGCAGTAACGATATTGATACAATTTGTCTAGAATAGAAACATAACTAATATTATTAATAAATTAATTTAAAAAATTAAAATTTGCTTTGTTTGATGGTTACTAATATCGTTATACATTTCTGACAACTATTAAAATGTGTCGTTTTAATAGAAACAAAATTAAATATTAATTTAAATGACAGTGAGAGCCGATGACATGATTTTGGGAATAAAAACACTTGAAAGCCAAATAGGGTACGAAATACTTAGTTTGAGCACTATTTGGGCCACTCTCAACAGAATAAAAAAAAACTGCACGATACGTCCCTATCATCATTGGATAGACCGGTTTTGATTTAGTTTATTTTTATTTGAATTTCACCAGTTCACTACCAGGTCTTTGAATAATAATTTTCGAATCTACAGTCTTTTCGATGTTACTAAAGCAACAACCAAAAAAAAACTTTACATTACCATTATTTCATGATCAGGAGGATTATCTCAAACCTTTTACTATAGTATAATAGAACTGGTATTCTTTTACATTTTATTACGCGTACTGTACTTTGTAAATAAAGCCATAGGCATTCGGCTTACTAAGTTTGATGTTAACTATATTTACGATATTGCAAGCAAAACGAATCGATTTTATAATACGATTGCCAATCGATTTACCGAGCAATCATATTTACCGAGAATTACAAGCACAAGGATTATATATTAATAAATAAACTAATACAGACGTTACCAATATCGTCATTACCCAGTGCGGGTCACCGGTCACGTACGGTAGCCTCTAAGTACCTACAATCTAAGGTAGTAAATTGCACTTGAGTTAGTGGATGTTTCTCACTGTTCCCACTCGGCCTCGTCCACGCCCTCCATGCTGTCCTGCTCCAGCTTCATGTTCACTTCTAACTTGGCGCTCATTGACTTCATAATCTGTACGAAAATATAAGAATATGGTTACAGTCGCCTTAAGTTAATTTGTAATCCCAACAGCTAAGGCAGAGGTCGTGGGTTTCATTCCCACCCAGGACAAATAATTTGTTGTGTGATAAGCACTATCATTTGTTGTATATGGGTGTAATTTATCAAGAATGTGTGTGTATTTATAATTATATTTGTATGTTTATCAGCAGTCTGGTTACCATAGTACAGGCTCTGCCTAGTTTGAGATCAAACGGCCGTGTGTGAGATGTGTTAAGTTATTATTATTTAACTTTAGCTCGTAGAACGTATAAAAAAATTCCGCCTCATCGGCTTTGGATATTATACTATATATATATATATATTATACTATATATATATTATTTATATTATATATATATTATTTTAATGCCGTTTTCCCCAGTTTATTTAGTATGTGTGACCGGCTTGCCTGACGCCAATCTTTCTTGGCTTGTACATTTATCTTAACAACTTATAATAATTAGTATACTATTCAGTAATCTTAGATATAAGGAGTACCTATTACTTTTAAGATATAATTTTCGAGATAAATGCATAATTCATAATTTGTTAATACACTTTTTTACGGCTCCGATTTAATATTGTTTGAAACATTATATAGGTACTTTGGCTCGTTTTGGTACTGGTACTTTTGCCTTTTTTCTTTCTTTTTTTTTTTGTAAATACGTTTTGATGCGTCATAATTCGACATGTGTTAGGTGGTTCAAAAAAGATTAAAAATCCGTTTCGTACTTATTTCGGTGGAGATAGTAAATAAACTTTGATATGTTACTCCTCATATATAATATTTGTTTGTACCTGGTCCTGTTTGTCCTTGACATCGTGTGGTACATGCGACTTGATGAGGTCCGGCTTGGGCTTCTGCAGCGCCGCGGTGGGCTTGCTCACGTCGCGGGACACCGGCGACGACGCCGTGTGGCCCGACACTGCCGGGGAACATTATACACCGTAACTTAACATTTATTAAGAGAAAGAAAAGCACTGATGGAAACATTGAATCTAAACCAGATTGATGTAGGAATTGCGCAGACTATTCTATCACTACCAATATCTGAGACTGCAAAACAGCTGTGTATTAGCGGTTCAATGTTTTCATAGTGACGCGTAAATTGTAAAGTATACATGTAGAAGATACAATGGGGTTGACATGTCCACATAGACAAAAACCCCATCAACAACAGATTTAAAAAAAATAAAAGCATTTGTTACATAATATGTATACAACAACAACAAATCGTTTATAAAAATACTTAATTTCTTTTTCTGTACCTACTAACAACGTGGACAACAAACGTTCACGATGATCGGTCGAGTAGTTTAGTGTTAAAGCGTGCAAACGAACTAACATACAAAACAAGCAATTTGACTTGACTTCAAAAGCGATACCTTTGTGAACTGATTTCATTAAACCTTTTCATAATTGAATGGAGTAGAATCCCACTCGAGGTGTCTCATTTTTTTTTTTTAAGATTTCATCTCTATTATTATCTACCATTTATCGAGATTTAAGAGCATTGAATGCGGTGGTACTTTTTTAAAATATTATTAGAATAGCAACCGTCGAAAATACCAAATAAAATCTTAGTAATTCTTATTCTAAAAAGGTGTTGTGAATGAGTACTTACGCGGCTCCATGCCGGGCGGTTGCAAGCTAACCATCTTGGGCGTGACATTGGCTCCGGACAGCCATTCTTTGCCGCTAAGCCACGGTTCCCACGTCACCAACGTTGGTGGGAACAAGTCGTCTTGGAACAACTCACTCTGTCAAAACGAAACATGCAACGAATGTAAAAATTATAAAGTACTTCCGATACACACCAAAATCACTTATAATCTCATTAAAGAACAATTTTTTAACACTAACATCTTTCATGAAATATCTCGTAATTAACGAACGTGACAAAAATTAGTGCAACTAACGTTTACAGCGAGAGAACTACTCAGTATATGATTCCTCGGCTAATTAATAGCGTCGACCCATCATTTGTGCAAAGCATTACAACGTAAGATCAAATTTAAATTATTTGTTGAACACCCTGTAGATTGGTGGAGATACTTGTTAAAAGACAGGTTTTTGTTTACACAGGACGGGTTGTTGTACGTTGTTGTATTCACGAATGGTGTACGGGGTAGGTAGTATTGTAATGTTTTAACATAGTTACTCATGTAAAACACATGAATTTATGTATGGTGTATATATGTATAAGGTTCATGTGTTCTTATGTATAGCATGCCGGACAGACCCATAATGGTTTTTGAAATGCTTATTGTAAAACATTGTATTCTTTCAATGAGAAAAAAAAAGAAAACAAAAAGGTTTAACTTATTAATTGTATAATAAGACGTAAGGACAGGTGAATTTTTTTCTTAAGAACTAAAACAGCCTAAAATTTATAATTATCCATTCATTTTAGTTAACCGTCATCACTAAATGTGACAGAAATCTAAACAACGTATGACATATCATACAGAAATTTATTAATATTTTACTATTTAGCCTACTGGTCATTTTTTAATATATTTAACTAGCTGACCCGCGCTATTTCATCTGCGTCTTTCAAAAGGACTAAATTCAACTCGTTTTTGCAACATTTTTCATTGTTTCCCGGTTTCTATTGTCGTAGCGTGATGTAATATAGCATATAACCTTTTTTGGTAGATGGGCTATCCAACACTAAAAGAATTTTTCAATTCAAAGCAGTAGTTCCTAAGATTAGCGCGTTCAACCAAACGAACTATTCAGATTTATATAGTATTAGAATAGATTTGATCCTTTCCATGAACATTCCGGTTCACGAACATTCTGGATCTTTCCATAAAACAAGGTCAGCCTATATATATATACACATCTCGACTCGTTATAGTTATTCTATTTCTGAGATAGACAAATATAAGGGCTATACATCACTTACCTTTATCCTGGGCACTGTGAACGATAGAGGCTCAACGGTACCATTGGTCAGTCGTAGAGCTCGCGCGAATTCCACCTAGTAATAAAACGGAAAATTACATGAATAAATAATAATAATAATCATTTATTTCAGGTAAATACCATTACAAATAACAATGTTATGTTTAATAGAGAAATCAAAATTTATTCAAATTAGGCTGAGTCCTAGCACATTTTGAACGTCATTGTTTACATGAAGACAGCACCCAAAAACGCCCAAGCCATCACAACTGTTTTAGCTGGGAAGAGGAATCAGTGGAACAAACTATCATGCAATATTCCACGAAGTTCACATGAAACTGGTATATTTCTTTTTTATTACACCTATATATCGGATATAGGTGTACTAAAAAACAAATAAGTGTAACAGATAGGGTACAATAGGGTAGATGGCTGTCAAGTGTTATTTTTTGTTTTTCTGTTTATTAAACGTCAAATCGATAGACGCGGTACATTTTTGTATAAAACACTAAGGCGTAACGTCACACCTAGCTATTGTCAAATTATGTATATTTAATATTGATTTGAAGATATAAAAACATTAAATTGACAATGGAGGACAATTCAGGCTGTACTTTAAGATGTTACATTTAATGATTCAGGTAAAATAATGTATTATTATAAGCCTAGGAATCTACCCTAACATTAACTCTTGTGACTGCCTCGGTTGCGCAATGGTTGCGTATGCGACTGCTGTGCTGAGGTCTCGGGTTCGATGCCCGGGTTGGACCCAAACTTTTTATGATGCAAAGATTTGTTTGGTAGTTTTCTATGTATAATATGTATCTATTTACAAAAAAAAAAGTAGATAGTAGAAAAAGCTCAGCTTAGTTTAAAACTAGATTTCGTTGTTAGTCAGATGTCCGAAATAATATTATTATTATATTATATTGATCGAGTACTATAAAAAAGTTACAAAAAAAACGAAAAAGGTGTTTTTTTGGGCTAACGAGCAGACAGGTCACCTTGTTAAATGAGTACCGCCGCCCATGGACACCTCCAATACATGCGTCACAAGTAAATCTCTTGAGAGAAAGAGATTTAGGGGTTGGGGTCTGATTGGGCCTCCTCACTCACTCGGTGAAAAGCAACCAAATTCTAGCTAACACCGGTGTTCTGTGAGACTGTGTGTCACTCCGATTGAGTAGGCCCTTAAATGCCGAATCTCACGTCAATGCCATGAGACGGCTTTACTGTCACGACATGGAGGTAAATTTTGTCTTTATTACATTGAGTGAATTGTACTTAGCATTTTATGTAAAAAATTTGGTTAAAATGTAAAGTTTAGAAGCTGTTAAAAGTTATTGATCAATCATAGAAATTATATAAGCTGTTTTATCTCTCAAGGTAGTTGACATAAAATGGCAGAAGCTGTGGACAGTGGACACACATTATTTTTGTATGTACTAAATCAAAACATTGCGCATATTGCGTAATGTTCTTAAGACATCATTGTACAATACACTGTTTGTGTTCCTTAAAATAAATAAATAAAGGGTATTGAAGTAATTATCTTAGTATGAGTAGTTACACGTACCTTCTCGACAGCGACAAGGTTCTTCTGCAAGAAAGAGATGCCCTGATGCAGTGTTGGCGAGCGGTGGTGAGACAGAGCACACAGGTGCGGCGCCTCGCTCGTCACCTCGTAGCAGTAGATCGTCGAGTCGCCCTGCTCACAACTCATTGCCATCAGTGCCAATATATACACATAGATTTACAAACATTTTTCAATTATAATATAATCTAGTACCGTGTTAAATTCCTCAACTCCCTCTCTTGTCTTGTCACAACACTACATATCCTTTATCTATATAAACTAAAACGGGGAAACATCTATCACGAAATGTAGAACTGTAATAGTAATGTTCGCAATTAAGAAATAATTTTTGCATGATAATAATTTTACCCGTGCTGATTTTTGATACTTGGGACTTAAAATAATACCAATCAATCTGCCCTCGACCTTGATTGTCATTTTCTAACTCATTTTATTACCAGTCTTCACACAGTCTATACATTCTTATGTAATGTTATCAAATGTCTAAGCCGTGCAAATCAATACCAGTCGACGTCCCTATCCAATCAGAGGACGGACATGCAAAACGCCGCGATTTCAGTCCCTTTCCCCCTCCAAGAGTCGCGGTATCCTCTTCCTCACCTTACCCGATTTTTTACTCCAAAAATCCCGCCTGGAATGATTACATTGTCAAGCCTTTCGGCTATAATAGACATCAGCTAAAGTCCTTAACAACATTACACTTTATACTGATCCCAAGTAAACCGAGCATGTTTATGATAAGATCATCGACCACCTTATAGCTTCCAACTTACTATTTATCTGTATACTTACACGTCCCGTAAGGAATAAAGTGCCGGAGTCGTGGTCGATATGCGTCTGCAAAATAGCCGGCGATACGTCCAGCCCGACAGTACACACCGGGGCCGACAGGTCCGTCGCTTTGTACAATAAAATCTGTCGCTCCGATACTCTGAAAATAACACATTTATCAATGTAGAATTTTTAAAGACTACGTCTACGCTTATTGATTGCTTCAAGAATTAAACTATTAAATGTAAAAATAATTTCTTGATTTTGAAAATTTCGAGGTATTTTAAATTTAAACAAATTTCAGCTTTACATTGTATTAAAAATAGAACGAAACGATAAATTTTGTTTCAGATCAGATCATGCCATAAAATGTTATCATAATCAATGTATATAAACAAAAAACAATTTATTGCATATATCGTTTAAAATGAAATGAAAATATTAAAATAAAGCATGGCTGTTCATAAACAGAAGAAAATATTGAAATTCATACATTTAAATGGTACCAAAAAATCGAGATGAAATGGATATTAGCTAGCAGGGTCGGAGGCCGGAACACATTCAGGCCGAAGGCCGGATAATATATTTAGGCTTGAGATCGATTAATACATTTTGGCTGGCGCGCGAATAATAGGGTAGTGATCCTAATACTGAAACAGGGATATCCCACAACGAAACCGAGTTCAATCCACCGGGGCTACAGCGGGGCTTGAACACCTGCCCACGTATACATGTACAGACCGAGTACGATAGCTCACTTGTCGAATCCGGTGACGACGAGGTGCGTCCCGCTGAGCGCCCACACGACGCGCGCGCCCCGCGCCCCCGCCGGGCTGAACACCTGCCCACGTATACATGTACAGACCGAGTACGATAGCTCACTTGTCGAATCCGGTGACGACGAGGTGCGTCCCGCTGAGCGCCCACACGACGCGCGCGCCCCGCGCCCCCGCCGGGCTGAACACCTGCCCACGTATACATGTACAGACCGAGTACGATAGCTCACTTGTCGAATCCGGTGACGACGAGGTGCGTCCCGCTGAGCGCCCACACGACGCGCGCGCCCCGCGCCCCCGCCGGGCTGAACACCTGCCCACGTATACATGTACAGACCGAGTACGATAGCTCACTTGTCGAATCCGGTGACGACGAGGTGCGTCCCGCTGAGCGCCCACACGACGCGCGCGCCCCGCGCCCCCCGCCGGGCTGAACACCTGCCCACGTATACATGTACAGACCGAGTACGATAGCTCACTTGTCGAATCCGGTGACGACGAGGTGCGTCCCGCTGAGCGCCCACACGACGCGCGCGCCCCGCGCCCCCGCCGGGCTGAACACCTAACTGCCCACGTATACATGTACAGACCGAGTACGATAGCTCACTTGTCGAATCCGGTGACGAACGAGGTGCGTCCCGCTGAGCGCCCCACACGACGCGCGCGCCCCGCGCCCCCGCCGGGCGTGAACACCTGCCCACGTATAACATGTACAGACCGAGTACGATAGCTCACTTGTCGAATCCGGTGACGACGAGGTGCGTCCCGCTGAGCGCCCACCACGACGCGCGCGGCCCCGCGCCCCCCCCCGCCGGGCTGAACACCTGCCCACGTATACATGTACAGACCGAGTACGATAGCTCACTTGTCGAATCCGGTGACGACGAGGTGCGTCCCGCTGAGCGCCCACACGACGCGCGCGCCCCGCGCCCCCGCCGGGCTGAACACCTGCCCACGTATACATGTACAGACCGAGTACGATAGCTCACTTGTCGAATCCGGTGACGACGAGGTGCGTCCCGCTGAGCGCCCACACGACGCGCGCGCCCCGCGCCCCCGCCGGGCTGAACACCTGCCCACGTATACATGTACAGACCGAGTACGATAGCTCACTTGTCGAATCCGGTGACGACGAGGTGCGTCCCGCTGAGCGCCCACACGACGCGCGCGCCCCGCGCCCCCGCCGGGCTGAACAACCTGCCCACAGTATACATGTACAGACCGAGTACGATAGCTCACTTGTCGAATCCGGTGACGACGAGGTGCGTCCCGCTGAGCGCCCACACGACGCGCGCGCCCCGCGCCCCCGCCGGGCTGAACACCTGCCCACGTATACATGTACAGACCGAGTACGATAGCTCACTTGTCGAATCCGGTGACGACGAGGTGCGTCCGCTGAGCGCCCACACGACGCGCGCGCCCCGCGCCCCCGCCGGGCTGAACACCTGCCCACGTATACATTAAACCGATATTATTTTTTTTTAAAAACCCCGGAGTCGATACTCACGCAACCGGGCGCAGGCCCGCCGGGCTGACCCGCCCCACGATGTCGCCCCGCCCCCCGGGGCTGACACTGCCCAGTTTGTAGACGGACGAGTGCTCCTTGAACCGGACACGAGGGCGCCCGCGGCGCCCACCGCCGGGCGCACCCGCCCACGGTTACAGCCGAGTACATGTCCCCTTTTGGACAGGGGCGCCCCGAGGGAAAAAAGGGGGGCCCCCCCGGGGCGCCCTGCCCACAAAACGTCCCGGCGGCCTGTCTCCGAAAGGTCCCCCCGGCCCCCCAAAAAACCGGGCGCCCCCCCCCCGCCCTAACCCCGCCCCGCGCAGCCGGTCAAGCCCTTTTCGAACCCCCAACGATGCCCCCTTTTTTCCCCCCCAACGCCCGGGCCGCCCCCCCGCCCCCCGGGCACCCCCGCCCCGCCTGACGGGGAGTATCCTTTGTCAATGGGGGATGCGTCCGTCCCCACAGGGGCCCCCGCCCCCCGGGGGCCCCCCCCCCCGCTGACGCCATACTATCCCTTTTCCCTGGGGGGCCCCCCTGGGGGAGCCCCCCGCCCCCCCCCCCCGCCCGCCACCCCCCCCAAAAAACCCGGGAATTTATTTTACGGGTCAATCCTTTGGGGGCGTCCCCTGCGCCCCCCCCGGGGCCGCCCCGCCCCCCCCCGGGGCCCCCCCCCAAATTAACGATACTTACCAGTCGAACCCTACAGGGGGTGGGGGGGCCCCCCCAAAGGGGCCGCCCCCCGCGCCCCCGGGGGGCCACCGGCCCCCTCGTAACCTCAAATACGGGGAAACCGGTACGAATTTCCCCCCTCCCCACCCCCGACCCGGCGCCCCCGCCCCCCCCCCCCCCGCCCCCGCCCCCGTTCTGACAGCCGATACATTCACTTTCGAATCCTTGCAACGAGGGGTCCCCGCGGCGCCCCACACCGCGCCCCCCCCCGGCCCCCGGGGGCTGAACCCCTGCCCACTATCATGTACAGAAAAAACCCGTGCCCGAACCGGTGCAAAGGGGCCCCCCCTACCCCACCCCCGCGCCCCCCCCGGGGGGCCCCCCCA